ACTTGTTAAACCAATGGATGCCATGATGTTTACGTGTACATGCTAATGAGCTAAACAAGTAATGGTAAGTATATGTTACACCCCTCCTAATGTGCTCACGGTAGAAGCATATAGTTTGTCATTGTAATAACACAAGCTGTGTTCATATTTAGCATATATTCCCCCAATAATGGAGTTCAAACACGAGTGCCAATTTAACATCAAGAAATCTTTCATACCAGAAAATAAACTGTGCGCAACTTAAAATGCTTTTTCACAATTATTCCTTTAATTAGACACATTAGATAAGTCATCTACAAATAGTGACTTCATTCAGTGAGAACAATGACAAGCCTTTTATGAATTTAGCTTATCATCGGCTGTGAATCAAATAGATTTGTTACAGAGCGCTGCAGGCGTATACTTGCTTTTACTGTATCATAGAAAAGCACTACTCTTGACTGTTAAATGGGTACAGTTCAAATTGAAGTGGACAAAGACAATCCTGTTTTATTTAATCTTATAGATAAACACAGTGTGACAGAAGCTGGAGCTGTTCGGAGACGATGGAAGGATTCCCCTTTGAGCTCCACAGAAAACTTCAGCTCTCCGGTTTCTTCCTTGTGTAAGTCATAGATGCTGGTGTTTGTGTTAGGCAGCTCGCACCTCTCCAGGCTCTTCTCACACAGATGGGCTGCTGATGTGAACAGTACTCTGCAGACGCTCGCTGAGTCAACTTGTGTATGTGTCATGTGGGCTTTGTCTGCTTCACACAGCAGCCTGCCGCCTACACTAATACACACAGCACCAATTTGAATGCAGCTCGTGGATTCGAATATGACCGTGTTACTTTCACATGCCCACCGGCTGACACCAAAACAGCAAACAGAAGAAGCCCCAGTGTTGATGTCTTGATATGTTTCTGCTCTTTGCGCTGTGTGTGTTTGTTTCAAACCGCTGTTTTTATTCCAAAGTCAAAACTGGTCACAATGCAAGCAGATTAAGAATTTATCTCCTCTCCCCTCAACCCTCCTTCACCGTGTTCAGCATCTCCGCACCCCCTGCTGCGAAACGTTTCTAACCCAATGAGGCCCCCTACAGTTGCAAGCTCACTGACGCTGAACTGAGCAGGTGCATAAAGATGGTAGCTTTTACTTTGACGTCATTTGACCCATTTTGCAGTGCTTTGCATAGTTCTCTACATGGAGGGATGTGTTCAGGCATTTTGCAGCTTGGAAAGTAAGTCTATGTGACTGCAGGACGTGATGCACATGTAAAAACCCAAAATGCTAACGATTTGATTCTTGATACCAAATATGATGCTTAATTTTCATTATTTTCCTTTGATCGTAAGGAAACAGATCCAGCCCTCTCTGAGTTTATTTGATGCTCCAAGTAGATTATTAGTTATTATTTTGTTTGATTTTATTTAAAAACAAAACAAAAACACACACCTCTCCTTTGCGTTTCTGGCACAAAACGTAGCAGCGGTGTAGATTTAGATTTTCACACGCGTGACCAGCTATGACTCACAGCCTTCTTTGTTGTAAAAGGCGATGATTGATTCAGACTTTCTTTGGTAAACCTTACTTCACCCCCATTGTTCACTTTCACTGGAGTGAATTAATCTGCGAGCTGCTGCACCCCGTTTCTCCCCCTATCCAATTGCGCCACACCGTGGAGACACGCAGACTATTTCTCCGCCAGTTCCCTCTCTCTGACTGTGAAATGGAAACTGTGCTAATTGCCCGTGGACTGTTTACGTCGAGCCTAGTTTGTTTTGAAGAGCGATATGATTATGCTCTCAAGATCCATAACAATGTCATAAACCGCAATCATGCACTTAAAAGACAGTCAAGTTTGCTGGTTCATTAAAGAGAAAAAAAAGGCGCATTATTTCAGCAGTTGGAATATGATTTAGCTGCAGTAATTTGTAGCGATGGAATTAGATGCAGTAAGGCGACATTTGCAGGTAAGAGCTGCATGGCGCCAACCGAAGACCTCTGCTTCCATCTTGTGGCAACCTGGCGCAACGTTTTTTCTTCTCCGTCTCCCCCTCCCCCTCCCTCCATCACTCCCCTTTCTCTTTAATATCGGCACTGTGGCGAATCTAATCTGGATCTCCTTTAAGGCAATAAAACCCAGATCGCTTCCTTTAAATGAAAAGCACCGCTTATTATAGCTTTGAAATCCTCGTTTATTTGGCGATGTGCGTGATAGAAAAATGATTCATGTCGAGGTTCAAATGGGCAGGATGACGAAGATTCACGGTGTCCCAAGTGCATATTTCCTCAAGTATTGTATTCCAAGGTATATAATAGAGTTATCCACGCAGGTTGAACTATGCTGCACGCCAAGATGCTTGTTTTAATATCGTACTGCTTTATCCCTTCAAGCAGCCAAAAGCAATTTCCGATAAATCTGACCCTGTTGCTGAGCGGATAGAGGTGTAGTGTAATTTTCTGGTGCGTTAATGGCAATACGGGGGTGCAAAGAGAATGCTGTTCGTCATAAAAGTTTATCGTAAAGGCTTCCACGAAGACACTATTGAGGTTTTACTTCAGTTTTGTGGAAAACACGACAGAGCCTGACTGAACGCGCAGGGAGCTTCCAGCTGGTTTAAATCACTTTATATTTGCAAGTGAGCATAATTTCTGAAAGCAGATTTGTATGGTTCCGAAAAAGTGTTAAATATCATATTGTTAAATATGAAAATGTAAAGGCAATTTATGAATAAAGAAACCACTTGAATGGGATCAGTTCCGGTCTTTCATGCGCAAAAGTCCACAACACACCTGCCAACAAACCCAGTTTTTGTCCTCACGGAAAAACATCTGCATTTTCCAGAGATCACAGCAAAATAAAAGTGCAAATGGCAGCTTCAGCATTTAATTATTAGTCAGGTGTATTATTTGTTCTACATCCGTATATCGCACAGCAGCGCGGCACTGGCTTTAAAGTCAGGAGAGCTGCTGTGAAATCTAACCGTAAATTGTTAATTAATAGTAGATCAAGTTTACGCTCGATACGGAAGTCCTTAAAAAAGGACGGGGGCCAAACAGTGTCAAATATTTTTCCATGTGTTCATTTTAGAAACAGGCTCACGCACAGCAAACAAGGAAGAACACTGTCTAGAATTAAAAATAGTTTTTGCGCCTTGACGAGCCACTTTTTTGGACAGACAATAATCGGCCTTTCACGTTGGAGAATGGGAGGATAGAGGGAAAAGAGAAATGAGAAGGCTGTTGTTGGCATAGCTCTATCAAGGAAGAAGGACTCCCTGTTATGTGTGAATGGGGCTTCTTTTTTTTTACCAGAATAGATATAGCACGAATTTTTAATTCGTTTTTCTTTGAGAGACAACAATGCTTTATTTGAAAGCTTGATACAATTTGGGGCTTGTAAGAGATTCTTTTCTCCTTTTCCGAGCCCAGCTGCCCATATGGGACACAACGTGTGCAGAAAGGATCACAATGGCACCAAGTGACAGGCAGGACAAAAAGCCCAAGGATACATCTCCCTGACTCTGAACAGCACCAAGAAACTCTGTCTATCTACACTGTCTGCATCTCCACTCCTGCTGCTCGTTAGCATGCACGCCTCTAACATCCACAGAAACCAGGCCTGGGCTTTTGTTTTTTATTTTAAAAAATTTTTTTATTGCCTCGTGCACTTGCGTTGCGCAGTGATAGAGTCGCAGAGCTGCCTTCTCTGTTGGACAAAAACTGACACAAATGTCAGCGTCATTCTTTCACTTATGAGTTTTTAAATTGCGTTATTGTTCCGGGACTTGTTCAGTTTGAGTTTGATTTGAAAGAAACCAGTCAGAGTTCACTAAAATCCAATCACAGACAGGCAATCATTTATCATCGACTCTTATCGGTTCTCTTTATAATTCTCATAACACGCACTGGTACTCACGTCATTTTTCTCTTCGCATGTGGCGGGTTTCTATAATAACTGCGTCTGCTTATTTAACACACGCACACACACGTTTCTGGGGGTTTTAAGACAAAGAAATAAAAAAATAAAGTTTGATTTATTTGACCTGGAAGCTCGAAACACAAAACCTTTCTGTCAGCGACAAATTGAGTCTGTGTCATCCACAAAAGCAGTAGCCCCCTGAGACTCAATTCTGTAAATAATTAGCAAATCTGCCCAATTTAGCTGTTTGTTCGGTGATGATAGGGGCGACTCTAACATCTGCTGTGAGATTTTTTGGCCCGGGACAAACAAAATGCATAGATTTTTTTCAACTAGGTTATCATATTTACTCAAGATATTGACTGGAGTCTGATAATCCGCAATGCGCTCTGCGGATCACTGGGGAGCCATTTGTGCTCATTTTGGTCCCACGGTAAAGAACGCCGTGCCTAATAGCGTAAAGTATATTGTAATGCGGGCTATGATTGCCAACATGTTATATGATCGTGTAAAAAATGTCTTTATTAGTCCCTTCAAGCCTCTGTAAGCCACGCGAATTTTAGCTGAACGCTGCCGTGATTAAACAAAGAAGGCTGGTGAGTCATTGATCCGTCCTGCTCTGTTTGCAGTTTAGCGCTTAACAAGATAACAAAACATTTATTGCATTAAACGATGTTTTTCCTCGCAGTCTACCACTTTACAACCAAGGCCGGGGGTGGTTGGGGATGCTGACAAAAAGGAGAGCTTTTCACTCAAAAGCTTCTTATGTTGAGAAGCCCACTTATAGTAAGTGAGTGGATTTTAGTCCCATTTCACAAGTGACTTTCGGCTCTTTATTAGCGAGGTGTTCGGATTGAGAAAAAATATTTTCGGGATTAAATTTGCCTGAAAGAGAAAGAACTGAAGTGCGCTGGAGATTTTTTTTTTTCGTTCCCGTGCTCACTTCCATTCTGTGCCACAATAAAGTGTTTTCATCATCGCCTTTTATCATCACGTTTACCGGTGTCTTTTAAAATAAAATAGAATTTTCACAGTGGCGGCTATAAACCAAACCCTGGTGTCAGAAACAACGCATTTTATTTAAATTATGTTTTTTTTTATTTAAAAAAACAAAATCGGTTATTTTACCGTCGCCGCGAGGCTACAGTTTTTATTTACACGGCAGTCCCCTTATTTTATTTTTTTAATTAAAAGATTCAGAAATGTAGGCTACACAACCCTCTTCATCGCCACACTCCCGCAACTGCTCTGCGTTGCAAACACCTGCCACAAAATTATTTACAAGAAATAAAAACCAAAGGGAAAAAGCTGAAAACTTGCCAGTGTTTATTCATGGCCATAAATATTTTTTTCGGTCCATAAAAGAAGCAAGAAATTAAAATTTCTATAATTATAAAGTGGTTCGTACGTGCTGATAATAACACGAAGGGACAAAGAAAAAAAAAGAGGAAACATCTCTACAACCAACACACAACATACTTACAAAAAAATAAAATAAAAAATAAAAAATCACAAGAAGAGCATTGACATTCTTAATAAAATCTATATGGGAGAGGTTTGGACCCAGTTCTCTTAACGAAAACATGTAAACACGGCGCACACATGAGCCCCGAATAAAAATGGTAGTATATATATGAGTCAAGCTGCAAAAATGAAAAGTCTTTTGTTTGTGTGTTTTATTTTTTCTTTGCTTTGTGGTGAAACTCCCTACCGCGCCTCCAAGCCAAGTCTCTATAATTTCTCTCACCAAGTCCACTGTTGCGTTTGCACCAAGTGATGTGCTGTGGGGAATTGTGGCGTAGCCGCGGCGCTGTACTGCGCGTTATACTGCATGTGTTGGAGTGACTGGGCACTATATGCCGAAAAGGGGATCCCGGCCTGAAAAGTGGCCGCCAAGTCCTGAGCTTTAAGAGTGTGACAAGGCTTTCCATCCCTGACTAAGACGGGCACGGCCACCCGCCTGGGAGAAGGGAGATGGGTCACTTCCATACCTTTCTCGGCCCGGGCTCTCTTCATCTTATACCGGTGGTTCTGGAACCAGATCTTCACTTGGGTCGGGGTGAGGCGGATCAAGCTGGCCAGGTGCTCCCTCTCCGGGGCGGACAGGTACCTCTGCTGTCTGAAGCGGCGCTCCAGCTCATAGGTCTGTGCCTTGGAAAACAACACCCTCCTTTTCCGCTTCTTGCCAGAGTCGCTCCCGCCGCTGCTGGAAGTTTCCTTGTCGTTGTCCGGCGATTCGTCGTCCGCAGAAGGCTCCGGGGACTTGGCGGAGTCCTGAGAGCTGGCGGATAGACCGTGCACTGCGGCAAGAAACGGGAGAAACACTGTCAAAATGTTATGTTGTAAAGTTCTTAGAGACATTTATCACAAACACATAATCTCCATGGAAAGTTTAGGATGCGCCACCATTACTGCTTAATTCGAATAATCTCGCTTTAAAGCGATATTATGTTCAATTTCTCGGGATTTAACGACTCTTACAACATCTTTAATACAGAAGCCTAACTGAAGAATACAAGCCCAAGACCTGTGGCTAATTTCAACTATTTAGGACGCGTGGAAAACTGAAAAACAGAACAATTCCTCAGCCCAGTTCTACACGAGCAGGGCGAATCAGTGAAGCATTAAAAGGTGCATTGTGTGCTTGTAAATCCCCACAGAATGCAGGCTTATATTTCACACCATGATTATACTCTGAGTAACTGACAGCCCCCTTGTTTTTCCACGGTGCTTAATCGATCGAATTCTTACAATGCAAAGTGCAGGAGTCTAAACACTGAGCGCATTTGTTGAGCTGCAAACGCCACAATCGAGCAGTGCACGGTGCATAAATTTTAACACTGAAAGCCACCCAAGGGCATCGCTGGGCTGGATCTGGAAGCTGCATGTCATCAGTTATGGTTTAATGTAACCGAATAGCTTATAAAATAAGTCGTTATCATCTAGATCAGCAAGGATTCTTCTACTTACATGAATATTGAATACTGTCCGTTGTTGCAAGCCATCGTGTGTAAGGATTGTCACTACTGTCATAAAAGGGGTTCTTTAAAGGCAGATTTTGAACGTTTTCTAGAGGACTTTGCACCAAAACTCCAGTGGTTTTTGTCGTGGAAGTGGTCTCCGATCCCTCTGTGTCTTCCTCCGCTCCGGTGATAGATCCTTCTTCGTCATTTGTGTCAGGAAGGTCCAAAATGTCCTTTACAGAAAAGCCCGTCTTTGTGTTGGTCAACGACATATTCTGGTGGGGGGGAATATGCAGGGAAAGTTGCTGCACCAGCTTTTCGGACAATCCGCTGTTTTGAAAGAAAACAAACAACAAAAAGCAGAAGCGATTTTTCAGGAAAACAGGACGAGTGAGTGTCGCTCTACGCTGAAGTACAGTCAAAGCAGCCACTGTGGATAACCATTGCCTAAGCAAGTAGTAGCAGCGGATTCAGTCTCTTTAAGTCCAGGAAGGATGCCAAAGTGGCTGAAGTGCTATATGTGGCTCATGGATATTGTGCTACTGCTGGGTGCTAGAGGGAAATAAGCCATTACCTTGTCCGATCAGTCCATATAAGGTTGGTCTCAACACATGAACCTGCAGTGAAAAAGCATTAAAAAACGCGAAAGGTTGGCCACGTGTGGGCGGGTCTTAGGAGTCAAGTGGATGAAGACAGTGTTTGCAGATGTGAAATTGTGGGTTTTGGGGAGATCCGAGCCTCTACCATTGGTGCTTCAGAGCATGATGAGTGGTATAACGTGTCAATTAATTACAAAGACGGGGAGGGCCTTTTTTACACCCTATTTACATACAAAGAACCTCCAAGTAGCTTTATACTCACAATACTTAAAAAGCCCGTTTTTAACAAATTGCTCGCACTGAAGCTCTTTTCCTTTTCCTTCCCTCATAT